CCCCCCCCCCAAAAAAAAAAAAAAAAATGATTTCATGTGCTCAGATTGACTAGTCTGTAACTGAATTCTCCTTGGGATCTTTCCACTAACTGTGAAGTGACTTAGAGCAGTGGTTTTTAACCTTTTTTCATTTGTGGACCCTCAGAAAAATTGAATGGAAGTGCCGACCTCTTTGAATTGTAAGTGTGGGTATTCACATACTTTTGATTGATTGTAGTCATCTTGCACAGACCGCTTAGACATAATTTGCAGACCCCCAGGGGTCTGCAGACCACAGTTTGCAAATCACAGACTTAGACAAAGGACTACTGAATTATGATGCTCTCAAAAGAGATGTTCAGTGAAATTCCAGAAATCTGACTCTTTTTGCCCTGGTAGAGGTACTTGGCACTTTCCAGGATAGACCTCTGTGATGTGAGGCATCCACCTGGCATTGTACATTGTTTAGCTATGTCTAGAGGGCTTGTGTGCCTCGCTTGTGAAAACAGCACTCAGTGAGGTCAACATATTGCCCAGCCTGGTGCCAGAGATGCGTGTACATGCAGAAAATTACCATATTTACCCAAATCCAATATACCCTGAATGTAATTAGATTCTATACATGGAAACTGTATAAATGTGTTTATAATTTTTCCATGTATAGAATCTAATTATTGGAGGGTCATCTTAAATTTGTTGTCTGTCCCCCCACACTGCTGCAGGGGGGGCAAGCGATGGTGGGACAGTGAGGGGCTGCATGACCCCTGCCACTTGCCTCCCACATCTTGCTCCCAAAGCCTGTCCTGCCCCCACCATTTGCCCTCCCTGAGCCTGCTGCCCCTCCCCCCCACTACTTCCCTTTGCTTTACTCCACAGGCTCTGGCTCTGCTTCAGCCTGGGGCGCAAAGCATGGCTCCAGCCTGACCTGTTGGTAGCATCTCTGGCTGGAGCTGCAGCAGCTTCCTGTCTCCTCTCGTCTTGTCTCCCCCGTCCCCCGCCTCATACTCAAATCCAAGAAAAGGGGCTTTTTTTCTCCGTGATAAATACGGGGGGGGGGGGGGGGGGGGGGAACCTCATCTTGTATTTGAATAAGTATGGTATATGGGTGTTTGTTCACTGAGGGATATATTTTGTATTTTTCACATGAGGAAGAAAGCTGAGTGGTTAGTTTTGCTACAGTGGCAAAGTAAAGGGGTTTGGCTGCTCAGATACTGGGAGGTTCAACTTGGAAATTCCAAAGATTGATGTCTGTTTTTAATTCTGTCATTTTCAAAAGCCAAGGGAAGGCATGTGCAAACCACTGACATGGACCTGCCACTTTCCTTAGTGGGTATTGTGCATAGATGAAACATAGGGGTAAGTAATGTCTACAGAGCATCCCAGCTGCATTGTGAGCATCTGCTCTTCAGCTGCAGAGTGCTTCCTTTGTGCTTTCAGCATCCCAAGGGAGATTCAGTTACAGATTAGTCAATGTGGGGATCTCTATATTGCCCTAACCCTGTCACATCTGCCTCCTTCCTCCAGCTCAGGCACACACATTATTGAGAAACTTCCCTTAAACTTCAGAACTGTGGTCTTGGTTCCTTTTCCCATTTGTTTCCACCAGCAGTGTCCAGTAATGTCTGTATCAGTCACGCTTTTGAATCAAATCTTCCACATGATCTTGAAGTCTTGTCATTCCTGTGATACGCTAAGTTCTGCCTGGGCCATTTATGTCTAAAAATACTACATTGTGGGAATCTCTCTTTTTGTTTCCAGTGTTTTGTTCTGCATAACACAGCCAGCAAATGCATTCACCCCCAGAAAAACCTCAGTGGAGCCAGACTGATTTGAGTCTTCCTGGGTTTGCACTGGTTTATGCTGGTGGAGAAGCTGGCTGGGAATCTCCTTCATTTCATAGAAATTTCATAATTCTGAGCAAAGGAATTTTCAAATGATGAGAAGCCCCAAAGAGCTTCTGAAGCAACGTTAAGGCCCTTGTGCGGGCCGGGAGCACCCCGAGCCCTTTTTCGCGCTGCACGCGGGCTGTGGCCAGCAGCCCGGGCACGCGGGGGCGGAGAGGGAAGGCCTTCGCTCTGGAATTAGGCACAGACGCGTATCGGTAGTTTAAAAGATTGTTTACTTACACCGAGATGGCAATGGTGTAGGCTGGAAAGCTTGATTAAGTTGCAGTTACAGAAAGAGAAAAGAAAACAAAAACTCGAACCTGCAGAACACGAGGGTACGTCGCATAGGGTTCCGGCGACGAGAAAATAAACCTGCAGGACTCGAACCCGCGTAGAAGAGCTCTGAGGCCGATCGTAAGGGCTCACACGAAGTTTGTCAGGCTCCGTGGGTTCTTCCGTTGAGGATCCGCAGCGCTTAGAGATCTTCACACAGCGTGAAGTCTCCTCCTCCCTTGTTCGTGGAGTCCTCCAACTTGGGCGGAAACCACTCAAGCCTCTTATACGGCTAGCAAGCCAATCACTAGCCGCCACGTGTGAATACTTTAGAACTGGCCAATAATGGGACTTGAATTAGCATGCCAATGGCGGGAACTCTTTGCAATGAGCATCCCCTCTCTACAGCAAAGAAATGCACCCTGCAAAACAAGCTCCAAATTGGCGGGAAATTCTCCCTTGCACCGGGGTTCTCCTCTGCAGCAGAAAACTCCACTGTGCAAGGAAGCTGCAATTTAGCGGGGACAATTTAGCAGTGCCGAAGCACACACAAATAAAAATCACACCTTTTGGGTTGTGACAGCCCTGAGTTAAACTTCAGAGCAGCCCAGACTCCTCTGAAGTGCCAGGTGCCACAGTAGGAGTGGAAGAACATGTGGGTTTTTCCTCTTTGAAATGTGGCTGATTGAGGATTGGCAGCTGAGCGCAGTGGAAACCACCACAGCACACCTCAGCCTCACCTCAGAAAGTGATGGGAGGCAGTGAGAGCTCATTTAAATTGAAAAAAAAATGGTTGGTGGGTGCTGTTCACACACGGGATGAGTATTATGTGCTGTGGCAGGAGTGGGGAGAGCAGATGAATCCTTTAAGGTTCTCCCCGTTCTTTGCAGATGTCTCCCTTACCAAGGGCCCCTAGATCAGTGTTGGTCTCTCTGGAGTGATCACAGACACAAACTCATGTCTCCCAGTCACTTCTTGGCTTCTTAAAAGCTCAGATCAAGTGTAGCAGCTTCTTAACCTGGCTGGGGAAATACTTTGTATGTGTGTCCAAGAAGGCAGTTTTCCTGAACCACTTCTCAGGAGAACTGCTCTTCTGGCGTGGTTCAGTACCTGCTGAGGTGTAGCAGCTTTAAGCCCAGTTTATGGAAATGGGAGACTCCTCTCCTGCTTGCTCCAAGGGCCTTATGGCTGAGGGCAGGCAAAACTCAGGGGTATCCAAACCCCAAGCCTCTGGGCTTGGTCCTGCAAGTAGGATGCCCACCAAAGGTTCTGGGAACATCTGAAGCCCCAGGTGTAGATGGAGGATGTTTGCTAGTAGTAGGGCCACTTATGGTTCTGGACTTGTGGATTTGAAATTAGTTTTGGCTAATTTGGCCTTGGACACAAATTAAAACAAAAACAAAAAACCCCCATGTTTCCCAGTCCTGTGAGGCAGTTCAGGAAAACTGCCTTGGACACAGATACATGGTATTTCCCCTGCCAGGTTAAGAAGCCACTATGCTTGATCTGAGCCTTCAAGAGGCTGAGTTTTAAAGTTGTTGCTTCTCTGGGTTGAGGAGAAGGGTGGGGAGTAAATTCAAATGGGCTTGGTCTGCACCTTCTTTGTTCCTGCTTCAAAGTCCAGCCAAGGCTCACCTGGAAGGGATTCAAAGCTCAGGAAGAGTAGGGAAGCTGCTCTGCTGTGAACAGCCTGGAGACTGATGACAGGAAAGCAGGGAGGTGAAGGTTGCAGAGTGCTTGTGAATGTGAGGAGGAAAGAATCTGAGCGTGGGAGAGCTGTGGAGGAGTGTGGTGTGGGAAGGATCCATTTGAATCAGTGTCTTTAGTCCCATTTTGCATTTGTCCCCTTCAGCTGATTTCCTCCTGCCAACTGCACTCCCATTAGTTGTTCCAGTTTGGTATGTTGTTTGGCTAAGCAGGAGGATGCACAATGCTTACATCACTTTGCTTAAGCAATTATATAACTTAACTTATTTAACTTATTTCAAAAACAAGGGGTGACACCTTGATCTATTGGAGGATTTTTCCCCCCTTGTGATTTGTGCTGTTGGAATGCACATGCCTGAATTTGATAGTTGCTCTCTGTCTGTTAATCTCCCTTCCGTGTGCTGCAAACAGAAAGAAAAATGCAGGTTTCTCAAAACATGTCTTGCATTTAAAACAGATGAGCTAAACAAAGGATGTAATCTGTAGCTAGTGATTTAACTGATTGTTTCTGCTTACCACATTTTCTAAATGACAGAACTAAGATTTTGTTCTCACACATGACTCAAAGA